ACTGAAAAGCTGAAGTAACTGGAATATTTTAGAATTTCCGGAAAAACTTTTCTTGCAAAAAATTTAATAATTGAGAGATTTGTAATGCCATTATAGAGCTTATAATACTATTAACATAAACTACATTGTTGCCAAACAGTGGGATTAGTGTGATTGATGCCAAATAATGGATAAGCATTACATTATTACACAATCATAAGAAGTTTGTTTCATTTTGATGTAAACTAAATTAATTGTTAATAAGCCAGTTTAATATTTGTAAAAAAAGGATATAAGTTCTATTTTTTCTTTGCATTTCGAAAAAATTATTAATATTTCATAATGGTACACATAGAAGTGAGCAGGACACCAGAAGTTCATTGTTCATACAGGTATAATCTCACTAATTGTACAATTCTACCCCACTTTTGAGAGAGATCACCCTGAACAGCAGTCTTCAGCCCCTTTTACTACCACTAACCTGTTGAGAAGACGTTTGGCTTGCGGTGTATTTTGAGTACCCCTTTGCCACACAGATGCTATATGTTTACAAACATCCATGCCTTCTCTGGGATTGGAACAGAGCTCTTCAGTATGGCAGTCAGTATCACTAACTATACTGGATGGGCAGGAATATTTAGAACAGTATTTTCAAAGTTACAAGATCTAGGCATAAAAAGGAAATCCACAATACACGCCTTTGAAAATGGATAAACAATAGCGATGTAATGTAAAAAATTATTACAACTGATTTAAGTTTTTTATATGCTGTGTGCATAATTTGTACCTCTTTTTTTATCTAACTTAATAAAGAATGATCTCTTCATTTAAACTCATGCTGTAATTATTGGCAACATCGCTAACTTTTATGTTTGGCATGATTTCATAATCGTATCAGCTTGTTAATATTTAAGGTCTGCAAAATGCATTGGCTTTTATGTCTGGAATTTTTTTTATATGTATTATATCATTTTAAATGTGGCCTTCTGATATTCAAATTTGTTACAATTAAGATGCTTGTTCTTATAATTTTAAAGCTGAAATTTTTCCAGATAATCGAGCTTACTTTACCTCTTCTGTATAATTTTAAATAGTAAGTCTATCCACATTTGCCAAAATAAATCGTCCAAAGAAGCATTTTTAGCACACATTTGAATTTGTTCAAATATTGTACTTTGAATTAAGATAAAATTAAATAAATATGTTTGCTTCCAACAAAAAGTTAAAATATGAATGACAAATTAATTACCTTACACATTTTTAAATTTCAGAATATACATACATATAACAGTATTGATTTCAAACGAGCACTTTAAGAGGGGGATATCATCTTTTACGGTCTAATTTGGTACAAAATTTTTTGTATGACCGTTTGTTAATAATAAATTTTACAAATATTCACTTTTAGTGTTGTTACTTATCTATGTGATTATGAGAGTATTTCAGTCAGTTCCATATATTCATCAGGAACAAGAGGTAGAAAGTGTTAGTCCTTTGCCAAGGCCTTAGACATCTTATATGTAAAGGTTCAACTTTTTACCCTTTCTGCCCGAAATTTGATTGAGAACATTGTGAGAGGATAGCATTTGAGGTCTTCTGAATTCTTCTCCTTCCATCAACCTCTTGAGGGGCTTTCTACTTGATATCTTAAGTGTCTCCATGCCAGAAAGACACCATAGATATCCATATCCTAAGAATTTGAACCCAGGCCCTACACTGTGACAACTGATACTGCTAACTACTATAAAAATTAGGGATGTACATAGTAATTTATACCAGGGATTTCCATAAGTGATAACTTGCCATAATCTTCTTGCTTTTGCAACCATGTGTAATCATAACTGTTATCTTAACCATGTTTTCAACCATATTGCTGTTTAAAATCTTAATATATCTTGATGAAATCTTGAATATTAGCCTTTTTTATTATTATTTTCCTTTTTCCCTAAATTTCTAAATTAAATATCTGTAGAATTTATTAAGTAATTAAATAGAAGCTGTTTAGTCATTTCAGCATCATGATATATTGTTGAATAATTAGGTATAATGCTAATCTTTATGCAGTGAAATTATGTATTTCTAAAGAAAGCATTATATTTATAATACTTATAAGTGTAGAAAAGTTGTAAGAGTGAAATTAAGATATTGACTGGGAGAAAAGGAAATTATAGATTCATAAAAGTCTTATGATTTATCCACTTTTGTTGCAACAAATTAGCTATATATAAATAGATATGGAGCATAAAACCATAATTGATTCAAACAATTGCCTCTGCAAACTTTGTATTTTGAAGAAGGAAGATAAAGATTTTTAAAAAAAAGGTCATATCTGTTGCTTTAAAAGTTGCTAAAAGTCCCCCCCCTTCCGCGAAGGAAAAAAATAGCAGCCATCTGTTTTTATTTGAATGAATTCTTGGTGATATCTGAAATCAATGACATGAATGATTTTTTTTTTTCATTACTGTCTCTGACAGAATAAATGCAATTTTGTTACATTTAATTAACGTGAATATTGAGCAGGAAGAGGACTCGTTTAAAATACTGAAGATCACACAAAACACTGAACAAGAAAAATCTGAGATCAGCAGTGTGCACTGCTGAACCCATATTCTTTGCAATGTAAATTATAAATATAATTTGTTGCCTCTAAAACAAGGCCTTATACTCGAAAAATTAAATATATCTGGTACTGCGTGAAAGAATGCATGCAGATTTATTGATAAGAGGCAAATAGCAAAAGAAGAGGAATATCTTTGAAGCTATTTCATAAGCAATTCTTCAAAGTATTCAATTTTATTTTATTTCCTAATTAGTGCATTAAATAATTTGTAATTTTGTGTTCCCTTTAAGAACTGTGATTTAGCATTGCTAATGTTAAATGCATTCAATTTATTTAAATTTCTGTTTGCTTTAGATATATGATCTCATCACCACTTGAAATGCTAACAATGAAAGATTAAATAAAAATTAAATTTTAGGATTGGACGTAAGCAAACAATGGATAAACTAAGCTAAGTAAATTGTTGTAACAATAAGATGTTTTTATGCAACATAATTAATAATTATTTGTAATATTTTTAAATAGCAAATGATAATACTTTGATGAATTTAGTAACATAGATACTTAAAAAATGACGAAGAAATTTGATTTTATACAGCTAAATAAGTACATGTAAAACAGAAACCAAAATAGAAAAAATTGAAACTTCGTCTAACAAAAATAATATTGCTTTGAAATTTTGATTAAACTGTTATGGCCATAAATGGGATCGCAAATAGTCCTCACAACACTTCTACTGCATAAGTATTAATGTTTAATATCTGGTTGTAATGAAAGTTTTCCACCAAAAAATCTTTCTTAAAAAACATGAAAGCAGTAACTTTAGTGAATCAGCACTCAAATCTATGATTTTCTGCCAGTGTTTTGGTACAGCCCAGAAACTGGGTGGCTGTGAGTCCCAAAACAGATCAATCTCATTTTGGACATCCTGTACAAAATAAGAGATAGCACCAGCAAGATGTAGCTGCAAGTGTGAAAAAGGTAGAAGTCCAAAGGAGCAACTTCAGGGCTATATGGTGGGTGTGGCAAAAGATCCCATTTGAGTCCGTACAGAGTCCAGCCAATGAATGCAGATACATGTGGTCTTGCATTATCTTGATGGAACATTACCTTTTTGTGCTGGAACTCAGTTCGACGCTTTCCTTGATAGTAGTGTCAGCACGGACTAGCATCTCGTTGTACACCTTAATATTAAGGCTTTTACCTTTTTTTAGATAATCTTTGCGAATGATACTTCAGTAATCTCACCAGATACAAATCATGATCTTTTTGTTAGTCAAATTCTGCTTTGTGATGCCACCAACAAGCTCACTGAGTGCAGACCAATCCCCTTTTCGGCCTCTGTTGTTGAAGTTTTTCATCACAAGTGATGATGCGGTCTATAATTTTGCCCTTGCATTGATATTCGAGCAGATTAGTGCAGGCTCGAACGTGTGTGTCTTTATCTGCTTGAATCAGCTAATGTGGCACCTAGCGATTGAACTTGTATGTCAAGTTTATGTGATGTAGAGCACGACTTATGGACATGGCACTAATGTGTAACTCCTTAGCAAGCTCTCAAGTGGTTGCATACTGATCTTCATCAAGTTCTCGCAGGTGAGCGTAGTCAACATCAGTAGGTCGTCCAGAGTGCTCTACTTCTTGAATGTCATAGTCCTTGTTTTTGAACTTTTAGTACCAAAGCTTTACTGTATTATATGATGCAACATTAGTACTTAAAGCTGTACACATGATTTGGTAATATTCTGTAGCTGACTCTTTGCAACAGAACTGGTAGTAAATGATGATTTTAATCTGGTAGCAGGATACCTCCATTTCAGACACCTTGTACTTAATGATAAGAATATTTTTTTACAAATTCCACAACACAATGTTCGAAAGAAAGTCTCTTTCTTTCAAATGCCAAAAATCGTTTGACAAAATATGATTAAACATGCAAATATCATCTGTTTGTGCAGATGATATTTACGGTGGCAGGAAACTTTTGTTAAAATTCATTATATTTTATAGATACCAAATCATTATAGTCTTGTGCGATTGACTTTCAATAAGGAAGAAAATAAATTGAAATTATTATATTTTCAATCTTTTATAATTCAACAATAAGATATTTTATAAAACATAATTAATATTCATTGGTAATCATTGAAAACAAAATATATAATATCATCTCCTTATGATGAGAATATTTTTGAATGGGATTGTTAAAATATTTCTGTAAAGTATTCCTTTTTTATTTTTTATACATTTTTGAAATTAAGGATTAATTCATTGGATAAAATTGCTAAATGTTCAAAATTGTCTAGTGCACATAATTATTTTATTTTCCGTATTTTTCTTTGAATGTTAAAGTTAAAACAAATACTGTCTTCCATTTGAATTTATTGTGTGTTATAGAAACTAACTGTCAATTGATAATTTACTCTTAATTTACTAATTATTTAATTCAAAATTTTAATAGCAAAGATAAAGCTGGCTGTGTTAAGCTACTAAAACACAAAATTCCAACTCTGCCATCTCGTAAGGATAATTTCTGTGAAATTACTGTATCTGAAAAATTTCCAGCTAATTGTAAGAGACAAGAGCATAGTGCATCAGAAGAAAGGAGAAAATTCATGCATCACAATTCTCATTCTGCTCGAACAAATGTACATCCAATTTCAAACAGAAATAGGTAACAAAATTTTTTTTTTATTTTTTAAGATACTTTGCTATTTTGATTACCTAATAAACATTTACTCAGTCTTTCTGAATATATCATATATGACTAATTATATATGACTAATTAATCTCAGTTGTAAGTTTTTTTAACATGATGATAAATGTTGTTATTAAGTAAATACAAAAAAGCACACTAGTTTATAATTTGGTAAAATATAATCATTCCTACTTATTAAGTTTTAAAATGGTTACAGTTAACAGTATAAAGAGACACCTGACATAGATTGCTCTTCAAAATATAAAAATAAGCCATACCATTGCTAGGAATTCAAGTTAGAGAAATAATACAGTACAAAGTCCAAAATCCAGACGTCCATTATCCGGAATGATCTAAAATCCGGACCTCAAAGCCACAAACGTTTTTGGGGGGTATGCTTTACACATGTGCATTCGATTTTTCCTTCAATAATAAAACGTGGAGATTTTCACTTAAAAATTCCGATTCTTAATTTCACTTAGGCACTAAATAAAATACCTCGTTATGGAAAAACAATCATGTAAGCATAATTTTGTGAGATTAATAATTTGGCTCCATAGCCGAGTATCTATTTGGCATACATCTCAAACCGAAACATTCACCTATTTTATATCCCTGACGCCGACCTGGCGAGTCATTATTTATTATATTTTGCTTTCATCACTGCATGTTTATCAATACATGTCAGCTTCAGTAATAACTCATGCAGTGATGTCTAAACTTTTTTATTTTAGTAATTGAATAACAAGAGTATGGCAACCTTTTATGCTAATGCTTGGTGATGATTATAGATTTTTAAATGCTCTTAGAGTTGTTGACGAGGAAAAATTCAACAAAAACTTCTTTTCATATGCTAAAAATAGATTTTGTTAATGAAACTCATAGACCAAAAGATTACATTTAGTGCTATTTTAATTAAGAATAACTGATATGTTATTAACGATAAACCCAAAAGCGGCGGCAGAATATGTCAGCACCAGACAGCAGAGTTTAAAGAAAGCACTGGGATCCAAAATTTAGGCGTGGTGAAAATTTAGAACTTAGGAAAGTGCTTTGTAGCAGAATTTAGGACCCGTAGAGACTGCACCAGGCGGTATCGAGCGTCGGCCCAAGATAAAGCCTTAAGTATATGTGGGAGTTATTTATTCTGGACTCGGATTAGTTTTAAGCATGTGCAAGAAATGAACATAGGTATAGTAAATAATACGATTCAGACTTAATTCAGTATGCAATAGGAGCAAGATAAAACTTAGTGAAACAACTTGGCTTTCGTCGCCAATAATGTATAACGGGCGCTATTAAGCTAGGCTAAAATTATCTTTACTGATTCTAAGGCATTTTGGTTTATGTAGCAGACTGCGCTGCTCCCTGCTCTTCGAATTTGATCCAGCTCATTATTGTTGCAGACTGTTATTATTACAGCAATTTTATAAAAACTAAGCTTGAAGCTTTGGATTATCTCGAAAAAAGTTTCCAATTCTGGAGCTGCCAAAGGATCTACAAAGTGAAACCATGTTTCGATGTCCATTAAACAAAAAGTGGAATTGCTGCGAAAAATGGATACAGGCATATCCGTCTCAAAATTATGCAAGGAGTATGGCATTGGAAAGTCAACTGTATATGAGACAAGAAAAAAGAAAAAGGAACTTTTTGAATTTTTTGTGGATGTGACTTAAACAGCTTGCAATTAAAGAAATGTTTAATAAAATAAACAAATAAGTATTAAGCTTTTTGTTTAAATTTTGATACCCTTTAGATCATAATTGTTCTTTATTTCATAAATTACGATTTCATATTTTTAATTGTATAATTTCTGCATGCCATCTTACCAGATTTAAATTGATGATCTAATATCCGGAATCGCCGAAGTCCCGACGAGTCCGGATTTCGGACTTTGTACTGTAATAATTTCAGTTAATAATTTTTTTATTCCAAACCTATCCTTTTAAAAATATTTAAAAGTCATAAATGTTATTTTTCTACTTCTGATTTCATTGAGTAGATGCCTCTTAACAGGAGTAATCAATTATGAAAATTCTCCTCTATTCTTCATTTTTCAAATTTAAATTTGTTGCCATTTTTTGAGTCTGCCTTCAAACAAAATGTAAGTAGTAAAATATAGTATACAATGAAAGTCTGAAATACAGGTGCTAGACATATGGAATTTTCAAAATGTCCTGATTCAACTACCGACCTTTTTTTTTATTACTTGAAGTTCATGATCACATGCATGAAGTTTGCAGGAAGATGGAATGTTTACTTGTAGAATGTAAGCCCATGGTTACCATTTTGAAGCTTCTAAGATATCTTAATACTTGACATTTATTTATTTATTTATTTATTTCTGTTTGATTTACCAGCACATAGTAATGGTTACTAAAATATCTGAACTTTATGATGCGAAGAGAATAAATTAATTCCAAATGAATAATAAACTTGAAATAATTTAAGTGACTAGAAAATGCTATGGGCAGTGGTTTTAAGTGAAAAATATTTGTAAATGTGCAGTTTATAAAACAAAAATGAATAATTAGTGAAACAGAATGGCAGATTATAAAACTCTTGATTTTTGTGGCTAACTTTGGGCCAGAAGAGCTACCAGCTGGCATACATGTCAGAAGACATGCATAAAGGAAAGAGATCTGAAAATTGGTGCCCGGGAGCGGACATTTCGGAGGAAAGGAGCAGGAAGGTAATTGCCAGATGACTGGAGATTATGGGACCTACTCGCGGGATTTGAAAAAAATATTTGAATTTTGTAGTTTCACATGAAGTTTGCAGTATATTAGGTGGGAGGAACACTGTTATGAGGGAGAAGAGGCAACCATTTTCAACAACTTTTGATGATGCCTTCTCCTTCATAGCAGCTTTCATCCTAGGTGCAAATTTTTAGTTAAAAAAATCTAGCCAACAGATTGTGACATGAGATTAGAGTACTTAACCACCGTACAGCCCCTAAATATGATGTCAAACAGGATTGGACATCACCATTATGACTGAGTGCCTTCTCCATCATAAAAGCTTTCCCCTGTGGGACAGGTCTGAGGGTCTCCCACCCTGTGCCCTCTCCCTCATAACAACAGTACATGGGTTAGACAAATTTCAGTTATAAAGTATCAAAAAAATTCACAGACCACTAAGTCAGCCTGGACATCTTTCTTACTTTTCTAAATCATTAAAAATTGGTGCATGTAAATAGATTTCTTACATTGTTTATTATGACTAAAACCCAAAATGACCCATGCATAAACCTTCACAGCAGCCTGTCTCATAGTAGATGGATTTCTATATTCTTTCATTTAGGCAGAGCAGTGCTGAGGGACAGATTCCCACCCCGCAGCCGGGATACATATGTAGGGCATAATTGATTCATGACCTCATCTGAGGCTTGTAATGAGATTGATTGTAGAAAAAGTCTTTTTTTTAGCCACAGTTAGACAGTCTGAATAAAGTAAATGATTTCTTTTTTCGTTTCTTTCTTTCTTTTTATTTTAATTCCCCCCCCCCCACACACACACAACAACCAGATGGTAAGGCAATTTCTGATTAAAATTTATTGCCAAAATCTTATGAAGTTCCAGAGAGTTCATTTCAAAGAGCATGTAATAATGGATGGCTTGTCTAATAATGTTAGACACATGGAGTTTGCTAAAGTGAGACAGCTTGAAACAAAATTGTGCCCTATGAGCATTGAATTGAGCATATGATGCTAGAGATAGAGCAATTTATAAAAAAGATCGCCCTGAGAAATTTTGGTTGTAAATAAGTAAATAAAAGTAATTTTAAAAAGTTCTGAAAGCTTTCAGACTTTATATTATGCCCAAAGGGCACTTTTTTTCACTTACTTGCACACAGACACCTTTCGAGAGCATTTGGGTTAAGAATATTTAAAAACAACGTATCTGTAGCATTTCTGATAACCATTGTTGTGCGCTGGATAGAAAAACGTTTTTTCTGTACAGCATTGCCACTACTCGCTTTGAAATCGTTTTGTTAACCAAAAATTCGTTAACGTTTTACAGAATATGAAATAGACAACAAAACAAATTCAAAATTTCGAATTTGGGCTTCGAGGTGCTCATGTTTGGGTAGAGGACTACGTTATTCAAAGTTTGATTAATCTAGGTTCCATTATTTTTTCACAGCACGAGTTATGCAGACATACATTTATACAAATTCTTCATTATTTAATTTCATTAAATGTAATACAGGGTGATAATATTTGGTGGTAACAATTTGAAAAGTGGTACAAAACTTTTAACGATTCAATGCAAAATGTCGTTTTGAGACTAATAGCTCTTCTGGGCTAATGCCCCTTAAAAAAAAATTGCACTGCTAATGCCAGTTTTCTTCCCCATCATTGGTAGAACCTGTCACCTGTCTTGTGCCACTTGACTCACTTAATCATATCGGGGATTTTTCTGGTCAGTGTTCAGCTGAACATGGCCTATCTCCACTTGTTTCCTTCTGTTCCTATACCCGAGCCAAGGTTTTATGTATTTTAATTGCCATTTTCTCCAAATTGTAACCTCATATTCACATATTTTCTGTTGCCTTATGGTGCTGCTTTTTGTACGGTTCTCTGCTTGCTATAGCTAGTTTACCTTGATAGCCATTTCAGGATAAATCCATGACTGCATGGTAAATGGCATTTCTTAACATGCCTGGGGAGAGCCACATGCTATTGTGCGTTCACCTAGCCTTGTTGCTATTGAAGTGTTGGATCGTTACCCAAATCTTTTAAACATGTCACATGTAGAGAAAGTAGAATAAATTAGTAAAAATAATAAATTAACTAAATTTTTGAATAAACAATGAAACAAAAATTTCTTGCATTAAGCAATATAGATGCATGTTGCACACAGGAAGGCTCTCTAATGGGCTGTGTCCTATTAAGTCGACTTGTAAAAACAAAACTACTTGTAAAAAGTAGCCTCACTCTAGTATCTATGTTGTAAAAACTCAAGTATTTATAT